TTTCAGCACTAATATAAAAAAAATTAAAAACATATAAAAATTTTAACCAATCAAATTTAATTTTATAAGTAATGATCAGCAAAATTTTCAGCACTATTAAAAAAGTTGATGTGATTAGACCATTTGCACCATAGTTATGTGATTATTTTTGAATCCAGACCAACATTTTGGTCTAGATTCAAAAATAATTATCCAGATAGTTTTTAAATTGAAATATTTTGTTACCAAATCTGTTAATCTATATTGATAATATGCCTAACGCTAACCATTTTTATTATTAATAAATGCTAATACTAATCACATCCTGTGCTCATAGATGCAAATATACAGATGTTAGTTGAAGGTGTTTATAACCTTCAACATAACAAGATATACGATGGATATGATATTGGTATTTTAATCGAATTTGTAAAATAATTGTAGCTAATGTGACCTCGTTAGAAGTAATAGTTGATTCTTTCAGCATATAGTTATTTTTTAATTTTTTTTTGAATTTTTTCAATATTTTTTCATCAGAATTGCTGTCTTCATCAGATGATTTCTATAAATATATAATTAAAAAATATTTATTGGTATAAATATATAAACTATGAATATTGCTTAACTTTCTAATAATTAAACCATCTAATGCAATGTTTTATATTTTGTTAATGAAATTTCATGTGGTATAATGTTAGTTAAATTGCTTGTTGAGGAAATAACTATCAAAAAATCGATACATAACTATAATACTGTATATTATAAGATGAACTTATATACCTTAATTTTTCGCTTGTTAGATCCTAATATAACATATAGCACCATTTCTTTCGTTGAATTTAATAAATTTTTGTATTTAGTAATAAATGTATTATAATCACAATCATCATCTAATGCTATTTCCAGACCACGCCCATTTATTTTGTAAGTAATTTTAATATGATCTTTATCAACTTTGTTATTATTAAGACACTTACGAATATATTGAATAAGGTCATAATGAAATGTATTAAATCTACATGAATTAAATATAAACAGTTTTGCAGGCATCGATGTAGAACTTTTAACGTTAATAATAACTTTTGCTTCTAATCTCAAATGCTGATTCGAATTTTTATTATTTGGTTGCTGATTCAAATTTTTATTATTTGGTAATATATAGTTAAAATCATCATTTGGTAAATTAGAGTTTGTTGATGATTCAGAATCAATACTAATATAGTCAGCATCAGTTAGAAGAGGATTCGTATCTTTGAAACATTGAAAGGGCTATGACAATTATTACAAAAACTAATTTTAAAGTCTTTATCAAAATCACAATTATAGCACCAAATATTATTATATCTTTTAAGGAATAATATTTAATTTAAATGTGTTTTTTTAGGATTATAAACTCGACTATAAATTGGATTTTCAGAGCGAGAAGGCTTTTGCGTCATATCATATTCATATAGACCTTCTTCAGCTGGATCTTGAAAGCAATTAAGGCATTTTTGACATGAAAAACATGTTCCAATTCTGTATAAAGATGACATTTTAACCATACATGTAATAAGTGATAGTACTAATAGTTTAAATACCTTTAAGATTTATTGTTCAAAATATCATTGTATATATATATATATGAACATAATATACAAAAATGACAAATGCTAATACATAGAATTGGTACTTTCATTTTTAATATTAATACTGACAAATATACAAATACAACAAAATTATATGAACAATAACGTACGTATATACGTTAACGTTGAGGAATTGTTAAATCTCTGAAATTGAAAATTAGTATAATAATAAATACTGTAGATTTTAAGGGCTAAAACTCGATAATGAGTTTTCTTTAGCTATTTTACTGTAATTATATAACAGGAATTCATACTTTTTAACTTAGTAGTATATGTAAAGAGTACAAAAGCACCCCATACATATTACCAGAAAGATATCTTATTATTTCCACTTTTCTGGAAAACAAATAGTATCTAATTAATAATTTTTTTATATAAAATGAACGATACTTCTTTTTAATAAAAAATAAAGTGCTGACAATTATAATAGAGAAACATCAGAGAAGATTGGTTTAAATATTGGTGGTATTAGAGTAAGTTTATCTATCAATTATATAGAATTATCTTCCTATTAAGAAGATAGTGTGAGTTTTGTATGCAGTGCGAAAATACCCTTTGAACAATATTTGCTAAGCAGAACAAAGCCTTATTGCACCCAATTAATAGCAATATAATATATTAGAAGCCAAGAAATAAGGATATTCTGAACCATTGGATATTTGTGGCAATAATATTTCACCTATAAACATATGAATTAGGATATCTTGATAGAATATTTATTAATAATAAAAATGGTTAGCGTTAGGCATATTATCAATATAGATTAACAGATTTGGTAACAAAATATTTCA